CTTGCTCTGCCAGGCCAGTGACTCAGAGTTCTTGACTCAGGCCTCAATTTGTTTTGCTACACCTCTTTGCTAGTCTTGCCCTGCTCAGAAATGGCCAGAAATTTCCCCATCCCTCGGGCACTAAATGGGCCGGGCTCTACATACCCTCCCATGGCAAGTCAAGACAGATGCGGGACTAGAACCCCCAGAGTATGAATCCCACTCAGCTTTCTGGGTCGCAGGGAGAACCGTTTTCATTTTACTCAGACACCACAGCCACTCCCAGGACTTTTCAGAGGCGACTCCCCAGGAAAGTGGCCCCAGCCCTGACCAAGTGGGTGGGGCAGGTTGTCACAAGATTTAGGCCTGGGCAGAGTGAATCACAGAAGGGGCATGGTCCTCCAGCTTCCTCTCCACTCAGCCTAAGCCTTGGGCTCCACAGGAGAGAGGATGGGTGGAGAACAGGGCAAGGACAAAACCTGGTGTTTGGAACCGCAAGGCAGAGAGGAGCAGCCAGGACACGGCCTCCCAAGCAGGGGAGTGGGCGTGACCCCAGGTAGAGCTCAGGGGGTCCCTAAGAGAACACAGGACAAGCCCTGGGGAAGCTCCAGCCTGGAAGGGAAATGACTCCTCCAAGGCGTTAGTGGTCGAGCTGGAATGAGAACAGGAGTTCCACTTCCTAGTCCTGTGTCTCTTTCTGGGATCCCTTTAGCACGTGTCACCTGCCCCCCACCCCTGCTCTTTCTCCCATGCAGGCAGGGCACTTCTGTCACCTTTGCAGGGGAAACTGAGGCTGGGCAAATGGGCTCATAGCAGAGGGTTAGGGACAGCTGCAGGAGCAGAGGGTGTCTCAACCGTGCCTCCTCCTCAGCCAGGGATGTGGTTCTGCCTCCACTCAACAGAACTTCAGAGCACTCAGCACTGAGGATATGAAGGGCCCCTTCCTATATGTAATTTTAAAGTGTTCATATTAAAATACAAATGTTCATATTAAAAATAAAGTAAGTGTAAGGGAATCCTTAAGCTCTGATAATTGCTATTATAATACTTCAGTGCGGGCCACCTGGGTGGCTCAGTCGGTTAAGCATCTGCCTTCAGCTCAGGTCATGATCCCAGGGTGCTGGGATGGAGCCTCGCGTCGGGCTCCCTGCGCAGCAGGGAGTTTGCTTGTCCCTCTCCCTCTGCCCTTCCCCCCCCACCTTGTGCTCTCTCTCTCTCTCTCTCTCTCTCTCTAAAATATTCATTTATTCAAATAAAATCTTAAAAAAATACTTCAGGGCTTTTGTGGAAATATAAAATGTCAAATTCTTAAAATTTATTTTTCTCATTCTCACGTGCTCATACCGCCTCCTGGGAATTTGGCTCTGCCTTGCAACCCACAGGGTGCCAGAGACCAGTCAGGAAGAGAGGCCCAGGATTTCCCCTCTGGTGGACCCCTAAAAAAGGCCTCCACCCTCATCCTGCCCTCCAGTCCACCTTGCCTGCCAAAGTACCAGACACGGCAGCCCAGCCAGGAAACAGGAGACGCCGCTAGTCAATATCCCCTCCCTTCTGCTCTGTCCAAGGCTTCCTAGTTCCATAACCGGAGCCAACTTTCTGATAAGGGCTGGGTGGGTTTGGGGGGAGGAGCACAGGGAGTGCCAGCCTGTTAGCCTGTGACCCGGTCTCTCCCAAGTCACTCAGCAAATCGGCTTCAAAGGGGACACTGAGTTTCCGACTTCCTTTAGAAAGCCACTCTGTCCATCCCCACCAAGGGAAGGGGAGGAGACAAGGAAGAGACTGAGGCACTTGGCTGGGGCAGGGCAAGTCTAACATAGAGCACCTGAATTGAGAACAGAGCTCTAACTGCCGTGTTCCGAGCAGTTCCCGACTTATAGACGGGTTGCATTCCAAAAGTCTGTTAATTTTTCTACTAAGGTAAATCAACTAGATCAACTGTTTATTGAGTATTTGCTATGTATGCTAGTTCGGCATTGAAAGCACTTAATCCTTCTGAGAATTGGGGCGCCTGGGTGACTCAATGGTTAAGCATCCGCCTTTGGCTCAGGTCATGATCCTAGGGTCCTGGGATCGAGTCCTACATCGGGCTCCTCGCTCAGCAGGGAGTCTGCTTCTCCCTCTGCCTGCCATTCCTCCTGCTTGTGCGTGCGCTCTCTCTCTCTGACTGACAAACAAACAAACAAACAAACAAACAAATAAATAATAAAATCTTAAAAAAAATAAAAATTCTTCTGAGAATCCTGTGGGGGTTATTCTTGTTTTCACGTTGCCGGCGAAGAAACGGAAGGCTCAGAGATGCTAAGTAATTTGTCCCTGGCCACCCAGAGTCAGGGTTGGGAACAGATTCTTGATTCCAAGCCCAGTGGCTATTCCATGATGTCACACTATTTTGGGCAATAAATGGTCCTCCAGATTAAGCCACTAGAACTCCTTTAATCCATTATGCATCCCAAAATAGTGCACATTTGGAAAGGGAAAAAAAGAAAATAGTACTGAAATACAAATAAATTAGTGTAGAAAAATAACGAAATGGACTTGGGAAGTGTTCTGTTGTCCAGAATAAGGGTTTCTTATGGAACGTGGCTTTACTGAGAAGAGGATGTGGAAGTCGCTGAGAGCGGATATAAGGAAATTCACAAAGCCGAGGCTGAACACTTGCAAAGGCTTAGGAGCTTGCCCATCCTGGCTCTTCGTGTCTAGTTTTTGTTCTCGATGTGCACCTTTTCCTCGGGGCAGCAGCTGTGATTGGAGTTGATTCAAGAAGTGCAGCAAAGGAAAGTGAGTAAGAGAACAAGGAAGACAGAAAATTATTTCCATATAGGTAACACAACCAGGAGGGCTAAACAAGGAGAGACGATGTGTGTCTGTATAGGAATTAAGCAGCCGAGGTGACATTTCTTTTAATCCATCGATGAGGCTTTCTCAGGGACAAGGGCAAGCGGGGAGCCAAGCGCACGGTTTCCCCAGAGGGTAGGGCTGGTGATAGGTAGGGACGATGAGTCACGCGCTTCGCCACTGGCCTCCACACACGTGGTCACGGGGAGAGCAGCTTCTAGGTGTGTGAGGGCAAGTGGTAGCGAAAAGGCATTTGGGCCATGAGATGTTCTCCAGTTACAGTAACTTCCTCAGGGGATCACACCCAGGTCCACCGCCATCACATCATCCACATGCTGGAAGATTCTGGCTTCTCCCTTGCGCTCTGGGATCCTGCAACTAACGCCACTTGACATCACCGTGTGGATTTTATTTGCATCCACCCCCATCTGGCCCCTCTCTGGTTTCCACATGCCGTCTCTAGCTTCACCATCCGAGGCGAACATTGAAGAGCCATCCTGGATTCCTCTCTTTCTTTCAGTCCTCACAATTAACCCACCTGAATCAGGACTCAACTAAAAGTCCCCTTTCCTACCCTGGGTGGCAGTCCTGCCTCTCTCCCTGTGGCTTCATCACATGTCCTGCTTCTTCACACTCACTGTGTTCTAGCCTTCCTTCTGTCCCTGAGACACATCACCACGGTTCCTAGCTCAGGGCTCTGCGTTCACTCCTCCTCTGCCTGGAACAGTCTTTCCCACCTCACTGCATGGCCAGCTACTTCTCATTCTTCACGACTCACATCAAATATCAGCTCTGCAGAGGGTCCTGCCCTGACCTCCCTGGTGGAAAATTTCTCGTTAAGTTATTCTCAATCACATCACCCAGTTTCTTTTCTTTATAGCACCCAAACTGTCTCCTTTACAGATAACATATCTGTGTTGCTACTGTCTGTCTCTATCCACAAGTCTTGTTGGTCACTGCACCTGACAGTGTACCTCGTACATTGTATGAATTAACAAACGAGTGAATGAAAAGACGAAGTTGCAGGTTTCTAATTCAAGAGTTACTTTTCTTTTCTTTTTTTAAGATTTATTTATTTATTTAAGTAATCTCTACACCCAACGTGGGGCTCGAACTCACAACCCTGAGATCAAGAGCCACATGCTCCTCCAACTGAGCCAGCCAGCTTCCCCCCCAAAACTACTTTAACACGATTTTTTTAAAAAGATTTTATTTATTTATTTGTGAGAGAGAGAGAGCACAAGCAGAGGGAATGACAGGCAGAGGGAGAAGCAGGCTCCCCACTGAGCAGGGAGCCCGATGCGGGGCTTGATCCCAGGACCCTGGGACCATGACCTGAGCCGAAGGCAGACGCTTAACCAACTGAGCCACCCAGGCACCACCCCAAAAATTACTTTTCTAAGGAGCCAAGTTTTTATACAGACCGTAGAGTTGCGGGCAAGTGCATTTGTTGTTCATAGGGCCTGAAACATACCTGCTTTTTGGAGGAGGTGAATTATTTAGGAAGAAACCAGAATAGAAAGATAATTAATTCCCAAGCCAGACATGGCAGAGCCTGCGGGTGACCAGCCCAACTTCTGATCAATACAGGGTAACTCCCTAGACAGGTGACATGTCTCAGGAGCAGAGCCGAGTGCATATTTATATTTATAAAAGCTGCTCTGTATGGAGCCCCTCCTAGGTGACAGGCACTGTGTTAAGTGCTTTGTAGTCACTATTGTGATCAAGCCTCACCAAAAAAACCTGTAACTTATATACTGTTTCTAAGTCCCTTTTACAGATAAGAAACCTGTGGTTTAGAGAAATAGCTTGCTCACTGGGATTTAAACCCAGGCCACCGTGATTCCAAAGCCCCTAACTCTACTTGTCCAGCATGCCCTGCTAGATCCCTGACGATGCCATGAAATACTCTGGGTAGGGACTCCATGGCCAGTTTGAGAATTAAGGAAGCTAAGGCTTAGAAATATTGAGTGACTTGCCCAAGACCATCAAGCTAGTCAGTGGCGGCCTGGAACAGAGTCTACGTCCTTCTGGCTTTGGTTCCAGGATTCCTTCTCCTGTAGCTCATAGACTTCACTGGGACAAAGGTGAGACTGGGCATGATGCACGTGTCACGGACCCTCGGAGACCAAGGGAGGGGAAAGGTTGCCACACCGTGGGAAAGCTGACGCTCCTCTCTCCCCCAGGCATTCCTGGAGAAGTACGGATATCTCAGTGAGCAGGTCCCCAAAGACCTCACCGCGGCAAGATTCGGCAATGCCATCAGGTATGTGGGGGATTTGGGGGTGCCAGAGGGCAAGCTTCGGTCGCCTCTTCCCTCCTCCTGGATGGCGGGCCTCCCTCCTGTGTCCAAGGGTCATGCTCCATTGCTCTCCCCCCCCAACCCTGCCACCAGCCTCCTGCTGTCTCCAGGAAAACTCCTTGCCCTCACCCCCACCACCCACCCTCCCACTGTGGTCCTTTATCTCAATTCCTCCTGACAGGGAGTTCCAGAGGGTATCTCAGCTGCCCATCAGCGGCGTGCTAGACCCCGCCACCCTGCGCCAGATGACACGGCCCCGCTGTGGGGTGGCAGACACAGACAGTCAGGCGGCCTGGACCAAGAGGGTCAGTGCCCTGTTTGCTGGACGCCGGGCCAAAATGAGGCGTAAGAAACGCTTTGCAAAGCAAGGTGAGCCCTGCTGAAATCTACCTAAGCCAGGATTCCCAACACCCAGAAGCCCCGTGGCCAGAGAGAAAAAAAAAAAAAACCAGCCTAGCCTCGGACTGGGCTTTGTCAGTACCCTCTTCCCTAGGGCGGGAGAGGGGAGAGCAGTGGGTGAACAGGACCCCTCAAGTGGAGGGCCATGTTTGTGAACACAGACATTTAAATCAGAATTACACCAAAATGCATGGATTTTCATTATGCCCAAGTTTTCCAGAGCAAGCCCCATCAAGCCCACTTAATTCCTTGATCAATTGGTTACGCAGGGCAGTTAAACTGTTGCCAATGTTTTGCTTTATGTTTTCCCAAAGTTGTTTTCATCCTAAGAATTATTCAACAAAGATGTGGTTTACTGATCAGTTTTATTTTGTCTGTAGCACACTTTTAACAGCCTTATGGGAATAGAATTCACATACCGTAAAATGTACCCGTTGGAAGTGTACCACTCAGTGGGTTTTAGTATATTCGCAGAATTGTGCAACCATTACCATAATCTAATTCCCAGACACTTTCATCACCTCCAGAAGAAACTCCATGCTCCCTAGCGGTCACTCCCCGCCCCCTCTCCCCGCCCCCTCTCCCCGCCCCTGACAACCACCCATCTGCTTTCTGTTTCTATGGATTTGCCTGTTCTGGACATTTCATCACTGCTCATTTTATACATCACGGTTCCTGCTGTTGTGATTCTCCGTTTGTGGTTTCGGTTTTATCTTTTCTTTCTCCTCCTCTTCCCCCTTTCTGTCCAGACCCAGTCTTCCAGGGTCAAATGTTACGGACCTAAGATTTCTGAAGATCTGATTCTCCTGTCAATTCTTCATCAATAACGAGTTTTACTGTGTGTAATTTTAACATCTAAGTTAATGTTAACATTAACTAAGTCTAATTTTCTCTGACCTGATTTCTGCAGTTTTTAGGATTTCTAACAAGATGGGGTTGTTGAGTCAGGTTTACATCTATAATCAAATTTACCGTGAGCACTTTGGGTCATTGTCTCTTTTAATTTGCATTAACTACTTGCAGCCACAATATCCATTATGAACAGAACACAGGGTTCCTAGGTCATTTTTATTTCTTCGCTAATCCATAAGGAAGCTGTGGGCGGTTCCCCTCAGCTATTGGAGGATGGCAGTGATGGGGTCCGGATGCTGGGGTCGAGAAGTCCTTGGTGTCAACATGTTCTGCATCCCACTGTGTTTCTGGACCACAGAGGTACAACAGAGGCGCAGCATGAGCTGGGACAGCATTCCTGGAGCTGGGGCTCTGGGCTCAGCAGTGTGTCACTGCTCCATTTCCTCATCTGAGACATAGGCTCTTTCTGGTTGCAAAGTAGAGATGGGCCCTGGTCACCAAGGGGAAGGGGCTTGCTGTGGAAGGTGGGGCGGCCCCAGACCCAGTCTCAGCAGTGGCATTTCCAGGCTATAGGTGGTCTCTCAGAGAACTGGGAAGATGCCTCCTGGGCATCCAGGGCACAACCTGAGCACCAGAAATACTACCTTCTGGCAGCATCTTCTCATGGGAGTAGCTGATGGAACCCATTTGGTGCCGTTCAATTTGGAGCATCCATTTGGAACAGAGATTCAAGCTAAGGCATCTCCCAGGCAGGTAGCCTTGCCCTACCAGCCTAGCCCCATGTCACTGTCTGACCCTGATTCCTGGTCCAGACAGCAGTAGCTCAGGTTAAATGGAGACTTTCTCTCTTGTTCATAACCTGAACCCCAGCAGCTCGACTTCCATTACCCCCTGAGTGAGAAGACCTTCCCTAGAGAGGAACTGTATGCTTGGCAGGCACCGAACACTTCCTATGCCTTCCTTTGGAAAATGTATTCTTAACAGTTGGCCCTTCCTGAGCATTTATGATGTGCCAAGTGCAGTTCTAAATGGGTTAAGTCACGTAATCCCTTAACAACCCTAGGAGATAGGGACCATCATTATCCTCATTTTACGGAGAGCCAAACTAAGGGACAAAGAGCTTAGGAAACTTCCCCAGGGCCACATAGCCAGAGTGTGGCCAAGCCTTCTCATCACTGGGAGGACTGAGTGAGATTCCCCATGTAAGAAACCCCAGAACATGGGTGGAGTCTTTAAAAATGATGTGGATTTCTAGGCCAGTGACTGTCTACTCTGTGGGCAAATGGTCTGACGAAGTCGGGTTCCAGGGTAGGGTTGCCAGATAAAATATAAGACGTTCAGTTAAATTTGGATGTCAGGTGAACAACAAATCATTGTTTTGTGCTCACTTTTATACCAAAAAAAGAAAAAAAAGGAAAGATTTTGTTATTTATCTGACATTCAAATTTAACCAGGTGTTCCATGTTTTTATTTGCTAAATCTGGCAACCTCATTCCAAGTGTCTGGTCCTCTCTGTGCTTACGGGGGAGATTTTCGATCCCCCTTGGTCCCCCAAGGAGCTGGGGGGGAGGGTAGGGGGTCCGGGGTGACTCTGGGGTGGAAAGGGAAGGAGAAGAGAGTAGGCATTTACTGAGCACCCACCACATGCCCAGCACCCATACGTTCTAGTTCATTTGCCTTCTCATTTTTACCACAAGTAAGTCTTACCAACCACACTTTGCAAATAAGGAAACTAAGGTTTGGAGAGATTCCATAATTTGCTATGTAAGGTTGCGAGTAGAAGTGTTGGGATTCCAACCAGCTTCTTTCCACAGTATCCGTTGCCTGTTGGGAGGCAGGTGTCTAGGTCTCCACTCCTCCCCATGTGCTTTTCTCCCCCCCCTTACCTTTTGGATTTGGGGGCAAGGGCATAGGGGGTGCACGGCCAGGTGCTTCTGTGGCCTAGAGGTCACTGCAGAACCCAGCCTTGCCCGGGCCAGAGTTCAGGATGGGGCCTGAGGTGGCCAGCCTGCTCCAAAAGGAAGATGATGGAGAGAGGGCTCAGGCTGCTGGTGGGGGTAGGTGGTGGGTGGAGGAGGGGGGTCTTCCTTCTTGGCAGGCATACCAACGACCCCTCTCAAGGAAAATGTACCTGTTTGTCCTCCCTGTCCTCCTCCAAAGACACACGAGGCTGCGTGCACACACACACACACACACACACACACACATTCACAGAGGATTTTTATCCTCTGCGAGCTGTCACCTTCCCTTTCTTGCCCACTGAGCGAAGCCCCCTCTAATGCAAAGAGGCAGAAGGACCTGCCTCGCACTTCTAGCAGCTTGAAGGTGGGCAGGGAGAGCCTGCCAGTCAGTCAGCCCCAGCAGGGTGTGGAAGTGCCCAGGGCCAGCCTGTCCAGAGCCCTCCGGGGAGTCACCTCTGGACCCCAGGCCTTCCCTCCGCCTTCCTTGTCTCCCTCCCTTCCTAAGAATCCTTCCCCCTTCCCTCCCTGAGTGTTGGTCACTGGCTGGGAGGGGTTGGGTGGCTGCCAGGCCAAACAGGCCTGGGAAGGCAGCATTGCCTTGAATGGAGCTTGGCTCAGGGTGGGAGAAAAGACATTCCCCTCCCCCACTTCCATGGGGGATAAGGGAGGGAAAGGGCACTCAGCTCTCTACCACCCTCCCTTCCACCTGGAGAATTTCAGCTCATGCACAGCCCCTGCTTTGACCCATGGGAGCCATGTTCAGGCAAATTTATAAGCCTTGAGTCTTAGCAAATGTGCCTGTTTACCTGTGTGGTGTAGTAGAAAGCGCACTGGGTCAGATGTCAGGGCCTGGGCTCAGGGCCTAGCTGGGCTACTCACTCATTCTGTGACCCTGGGCAGGTCCCTTCCCCTGATCTCAATTTCCCCAGAACAGAGCAGGGAGGTCCGGTAAGGAGATGGCCAACCTTCCATGACTTCAGCCCTCCCCCCTGGGTCAGGCAAGGACTTCCCCGAGAGGCAAAAGGGCAGGCTGTCTGAACCTTCAGTTCCTCCAAGGAGAGAGAGGGCTGTGTCTACTGGCCCAGCTTGCCTACCTGCCACCCGTACCTCAGGAATTCTGGTCCATTTGGGAAACTGAGGCCCCAAAGATCACACGAAACCTATGCACTCCCTGGGCCCATGAGGCCTGCCTGGGAGCTGTGAGTCTTCCAGCTGGGGTCACAATCTCAGCCCCTGAGCTTGCCAGGCTCAGAAATAGCCCATGAAAAACTCAGGATCTGGACCTTCTAAGCACCCTGGTCCTGGGTGTGTGGTGAGCTGCAGGGGGACTCAGTTGACCGGAGGCTTGGGCAAAAGGCCAGAGTCTTTCTTAGGTCCAAGGGAGGAACTGCAGTTCTGGGCAAAGGAATAGAAACTTGTAACTAAGTGGAGATGGAAAAATTTCTCTCCCTCTCAGTGAGTGACAAAACACACCCTTTGTTCTTATTTGTTTTCACCTCAGAGCTCTCCAGAGTCCCTGAGGAAGTGAGGGGGAGGGCCAGGGGTCAGGGAAAGACCTCTAATAAATGGGTCTTGGTAGCTTGTCGGCAGCAGGCCTGCGGCACTGGAACGGGAAGGGCAGGCAGGTGTGAAGGGAGGAGAGGAGGAAGGGGTGAGGGGGGTCACAGCTGGGGCCCCAGTGGCCCCATCTCTCCTCCCTGCCCGCCCCCCGCCCAGTAGGCAGGGGTAGGGATTTGCTGCCAGCAAGAGTTGCAGAGTGGCTTTCAGGCTCAGCCCAGGCTGTGGGGAAGAAGACCTCAGACCAGAGAGTCCTTCAGGTTGGGGGCTTTTCCTGAGCAGAGGTCACATCCCCCCCGAGGGACTTCCCCAGGCCAAGCCACTAGACTGGGGCCTCTCTGGGACAAGGGTCGTCCTGTCAGCTTGAGAGCAGTGTCTCCCCAGCCAGACGGGCTCTTCCCAGGACAAGTGCTGTGTCTCTCCCCTTCAAATCCGGGACTCCCTGGAGGAGGGCCTATCTCCGCCTCATATGGGTCCTTGGGGACCAGCCCCGGGTTCCGCAGGTGGGTGTGACTGACGCGGCCTCTCCGGTTGGCAGGCAGCAAGTGGTACAAGCAGCACCTCTCCTACCGCCTGGTGAACTGGCCACAGCACCTCCCAGAGCCAGCAGTTCGTGGGGCCGTGCGCGCCGCCTTCCAGCTGTGGAGCAATGTCTCGGCACTGGAATTCTGGGAGGCCCCAGCCACAGTCCCCGCTGACATCCGCCTCACCTTCTTCCAAGGGGACCACAACGACGGGCTGGGCAACGCCTTTGATGGCCCAGGTGCTGACACAGAGGCTCTCTCTCACGTGGCAGGAGGGGAACCCAACTGGGAGAGGCAGTCCGGGGAAGGCAATGGGGCCTTTGCTCTCCCTTTGGCCTTGGCCAAGCTGGATCCACCTTCGAAGAACCCTCAGTCTCCTCCTCTGTAGAATGGGAACAATGGTTTCTGCCCAGTTGTGTGCCATGTGGCTGAAGGGACGGCCAGATGAGGTTCTGCATGGAAAGCGCATTGTAAATTCCACAGTATTTTCTGGGAGAAGCTTCTGACGTCCCGTCATCTGTCCTCTGCCCCTAGACAGGCCTGTGCCTCTCCTGTTCTCCAAGAGTGGGTGTTCTCCCGACCATCACCCTAAAAACATCCAGAGGCCACCACTACCCCACTCCTGCCCTCCCCACGCCCACTACCACAGCCCACCACAGAAGGGCTTCGCATTCGCACAGCCCAGCCAGTTCTCCCATTTGCCACCAAACTGAAGGCTTACAGCAGCAATTTAAACTGATCTCCGCCTATTCTGCCCAACACTGGCCTTCAGAACCTGACTGCAGGCTGCCTGGGCATCGCCCGCCCCAACCCAATGATGAAAGGAGCCCTGACTAGACCCCTTCACGCCGGGGACTCGAGCCCTTGTATGGCCTGGGAATTTGGGCCCTCACCTCCCTTGCACTCCTCTACTTGGCATCAAGCCCACTCTGAGCAAAGCCCACGTCTAGGCCCTGCTGCTGGGACCCAGGGTAGGACTGGGAGAAATCTAAGCTTTTCAAGAATCCACATGTAACACTTATGTGTTCTTGCATGTAACTCACTTCACCCCTGCTATCTGCATGAAATGTTCCTGCCTATACTCGGCTGGAGTCTGGCGGCTAAGATAGCACGGGACTGGGAGAAAGCTCTCTGATTTGGGGCAGGCGCTTTGTCTGAGTTTAGGTGTTCTCTCTCTCTGAAACCTGCCATCCTGTTTCCCAGGATTAGTGGGAGGAGTGAGCGGAAAGGGCTAACATTGCTCGGACAGCTCGAGGCATATCCAAAACAGGAAGCACATACTGGTCCACACATGGCCTACGCTCCACACCCCAGGCGGCTCTCCTTTAATGGTGGTCAGTCCCCGTTGGCCTGGGCTCTGCAAGAAGGCAAGGCTGGAAGCGCCCTCAGCAGGCCTAGAAGGCCAATATTATCACCAAGCCGTTGGCTGACCCCTGCCCCTGCAGAAAGTGAATCGTGAAGCCTGGGGTCCTGGGAACTGTGTAACTGATAAACTCCCTCTGGGGCATGCCAGAGGCTGGAACATCATTGATCCAGTTCACTCCCTCTGCTCACTCCTACTACAGGAGGTAGAGACCCACAGAGGGGCCCCAGGAGAGAAAGGCAAGAACACAAAAATAGATATACTTTTTATTAGAGACTCTACATACCCATAAACACACCCAGCACCCCGATCAAGAATCGACATTACCGTCATCCAGAAGGTCCCATCGTGCCGACCTCTGGGGTAACCACTACATCTATTCCTACCTATATCTTTGTGAAAGTAATTCTTATGTAGCATTCATTATGGGCCAGGCACGGAATATGCTATGTAACCTACTCGTATACACACCTCCCTCTGTAATCCCCAGAGCAACCCCGCGAGGAAGAAGCAGCTCATTATCATCCTTCCCATTTCAGATCAGAGGGAGTGCTACTTGGCCAAGGTCACACAGCTAGTGAATAGGAAAACCGGGATGGAAACCCAGGCAGTTAGGACCCACGCTCTATGGACACCACGCTGCCTCCTAGGCGTCCACACCCCCACAGCCTAGGCTTCGGTTCAGCGCTCCCCACTTCAGCCTTTGCCAGAGGTCTTTAGGAGGGAAATTGCGCAGCAGAAAACAACCACGCCCACCCCTGGGGCTCCGGTGGGGACGCGGGGGCGTGGCGGGCGGTGGCTCCCGCTGACCCTCTGCGCCGCCTGCAGGGGGCGCCCTGGCGCACGCCTTCCTGCCCCGCCGGGGCGAAGCGCACTTCGACCGCGACGAGCGCTGGTCCCTGAGCCGCCGCCGCCGCGGGCGCAACCTGTTCGTGGTGCTGGCGCACGAGATCGGCCACACGCTCGGCCTGCCGCACTCGCCGGCGCCGCGCGCGCTCATGGCGCCCTACTACAAGAGGCTGGGCCGCGACGCGCTGCTCAGCTGGGACGACGTGCTGGCCGTGCAGGGCCTGTATGGTGAGCCCCCGGCCCGCCGCCCCCCCCCCCCCCCCTCCTCCCGGGGCCCGCACGCCCGGGCGGCGAGCAGGAGCCGCCGTCGGAAGCGCGGGAACCCGGCCTCACCGCCACCGGTCCCTCGCGATCCTGAAGCTGCGGCTCCCCTCACATCCGAAAAAGCCCCCGGGTGCCTGGCCTCTCCATCCCAACCAGGTCCCGCGCACCGCCCTCCCTGGCGCTCCGATTCCCCAGAGTCCTGCCCGATCCCGGCCTCGGCGGTTCCTCTCCCATCGCTGCCCCATCGCCCAGACCCAGTCCCCGGTCCCACCTCTCCCCCCGTCCCAGCCCTTGTTCCTGCTCCGCTTGCTCGCCCCCCAGCCTAACCCTCTCGCTGATGCTGGAACCCGCTCCCCTCCAAGCCTGGGCCTCTGCCTGGAGGTAGACCCAGCCGAGGTTTCCCCCCTACCCCGGCCCCTTCCAGAACGAACTGGCCGGTGCTGCCGCCCAATCAGCCACGGCTGGCTCCCTCAGAGTGCCTGGTGCGTAGGCAGGGCCAGAGCCCTGGGTTCAAGTCACCGTGCCATTCCTGATAAGCAGTTGCTCGGGGGCTAAGCATTTCCCCGCTGAGAGCTCTCGGTTTTACCTTCTGAGAAAAGGGATAATCATTGAGGCCCTGCTTACCTCACAGAGCTGTTGGCCCTAGGTTTCTGTAGCCTAAGAAACGTGCGCGAACAGCTGCTATTTCATGAGTGTATACTATGGGCCAGACGCTTAACACACTCATGAGGTATCTTTGTCCACAGATGGGGAGAACGGGGCTCAGAGAGGTTAGATAACTTGTCCAAGGTCACACAGCTAGAAAGTCGTGGACCAGGATGCAGGAGCTGGTGCCAAATTCTAAGCTTGTTGGACTCTGCCTCACTCTCATAAGTGAAGTATGGTGATGTAATTATTATGATTGCTGTAACTGTCGCAGCCCGGGCTCCTGAATTCTGCCCTCATGCCATCTGTGTTGCCCAGGACTCAGGGAAGAGAACCTTCTGCTCTTCTTAGTGCCCAACTCTTGTGTGGTCCCCCACTCCAGTTTTAGCTCAGTAGGGTTCTCTTTCCCAGACTTTTCGGAGGAGAGAGGACTTTTGAGTTTAGTGCTACGGTTAATAATACTGACAACCAAGGACAACTCTTAGCCCCCCACCCCCCACGCTTCTTCCCTGCCTCCCATACCAGGTCATGATGGAAGGAGCCAGAAGGGAGGTCTTGAGCCCCCCACACATGCCCCAACCAGTATGTGTGCTCTCCCTCTTCTCTCCTTCCCCATGAAGGGAAGCCCCAGGGGGGCTCCGTGGCCATTCAGCTCCCAGGAAAGCTGTTCACTGACTTTGAGGCCTGGGACCCCCACAGACCACAGGGAAGGCGCCCCGAAATCCAGGGTCCTAAATATTGCCACTCGTCCTTCGATGCCATCACTGTAGGTAAGATGGTCCCACCTGCGCCTCGCTTCCTTTTTCCTTTCTCCCCCACAGCGGTCTCCAGAGCTGGAATAGGGGGTGGGGTTATGAATAATAAATTCAGAAATCCCAAGCCACAAGCATTCTGCGGGGTAGGAAGCCCACGCCGAGCAAAACACTGGCGCCTTCCCTTTGCCCCAGCTGTGCACGCTACAGCCTCCCTCCTGAGTCTGGGAAGCTGGTTCTAGGAAAGCACCTTCCCTAGAAGGAAGGCGAGAGGCTGATGGTCACTCCTCAACTCTCTTATCTCCGGACAGACGGGCAACAGCGCCTGTACATTTTTCAAGGAAGCCACTTCTGGGAGGTGGCGGCGGACGGCAATGTCTCAGAGCCACGCCCACTACAGGAAAGGTGGGCGGGGCTGCCCCCCCACATTGAGGCTGCTGCGGTGTCATTGGACAGTGGGGACTTCTACTTCTTCAAAGGTACCAGCCCTGGGGCAGAGGAGAAAATTGAGGCCTAGAGGAGGGAGGTGTTCTGTCCAAGGTCAAAAGAGGGGAGGGGTGTCAATTCCACTCTGCACCTGCGGCCCCAGGGAACTCTACCAGGAGGTTCTTTCAGGGATGGATTGCAGGGCAGGGCGTTGAGGTTGTCCCAGAGAGAGAGGGTGGGAGGGCTGCAGAGAAGAGTCTAGAAGGGAAGCAGAGGACCATTCCTGAGCTCTGCAATCCAGCGGGAAAGTCCTGCTTCCTTGGAATTCTGGCTGTGCGAGGTTGGGCCTGTCACTTGGACTTGAATTATCTTGAATGGGGAAAATAATCCCTCAGGTTTGTTGGGGAAGGAGGATTAAAACATCATGTCGCGAGGAGCGTGCAGTCTATTATGTGAGTAAATAGTTTCATTCATCCAACAAATAACTGAGTGCCTTGGATGCACTAGACACAATTGGAGGTGTTGGGATGCAGTCGTGAACAAAACAAAAATCCCTGCCCTCATAGAACTATGTGTAGAAATGGTGGTGACTGGCCTTCCCTGTGGTCCACTGCCCATTCGGGGAGGGGGCCTGCTTCCCGCCGCCCCTGATGCTCCCGCTGCGCTGCCTGCCCTCTGCTGACACCTGCTGGAAGTCTAGGCCATAGCAGTCCCGGTGGGACCATCTTGCCTGTGAATTATTAGTACTGTGTGATCCATCTTGATGATCACAAATACTAACCACCCTGGGCTCCAACATGAGGGGGAACACAGGTCTGGGGGAACAGGTGAGGCGGAGGACCAAAGGGTGAGAGCCACCAGCTCACCCTGGCTCTCCTGATGCCCTACAGGGAGCCGATGCTGGAGGTTCCGGGGCCCCAAGCCAGTATGGGGTTCACCACAGCTGTGCCGGGCAGGGGGCCTGCCCCGCCACCCCGACGCGGCCCTCTTCTTCCCGCCTCTGGGCCGACTCATCCTCTTCAAGGGTGCCCGCTACTACGTGCTGGCCCGAGACGGACTGCAGGTGGAGCCCTACTACCCGCGAGGCCTGAAGGACTGGGGTGGCGTCCCCGAGGAGGTCAGCGGCGCGCTGCCACGGCCGGACGGCTCCGTCGTCTTCTTCAGGGATGACCACTACTGGCTCCTTGACCAGGCCAGACTGCGGGCGACCGCCTCGGGCCGCTGGGCCGCAGAGCTGCCCTGGATGGGCTGCTGGCACGCCAACTCGGGGAGCGCCCTGTTCTGAAGACGCTCCGACCCCTTAGTGGATTGTCGGTGCCCTTGTGGCCAACCTGTGTCCCCTGCCCCAGGAGCGGGACCTGCCTTGGAAGCCTCCGAGCTTCCCTGCAGAAGACCAGGCGGGAAAGTTTGTGTTTGTTTCCTGGAGAATTGCTTTGTGCTCTTAAGACCCCGATCTTTGTGGGATCAGTCCAAGGAGAAGCCAGAAAGGGTCTCAGACCGCACAGCCCTTTCCCAGAGGACCCTCCTCCCCAAGCCTCGGGGATTTTGTTTCTTCTGCTAAAGGTGCACTTCCTGTCCATGAGGCGACAGCGCTGGGCGGCCAGGGAGGATGCAAAACTTGATGGAGAGGTTGGGACCACTTTGCAAGACTGACTCCTTCCCCTCAGGACCTCCCTGGCTCAGTTTTTGGAGAATTGTGTCTTTTTAAATGAGAAGCCTCACCTCCAGGAAGCTTGGGTGGGTTGGGTACAAGGATTTCCAACCTCAGAGAGCCGTGGGGGTTGGGGTGGGGGGGTCAGGACCCAGAGCAAGAGGGAGACTGATGCAGGCCTGCTGGGCCCCACTGGAATAAAGCGGTGCCCCCAGCTGGTGGGCCCGGAAGCAGGCATCAGCCTTCCTTGGAATGGTTTCCAGTGAGAGCACGGATGCTGGAGCGGCTGGAACAATGTTCTTTCCCATCCAAGCCAAGACTACAGACTGTGTGTGAGTCGTCGTGATGGGGAGAGGTGGCCAGAAAAAGCAAAAAAGCTGGAGAGCCATGGGTGGCAGGGAGAGAGTGGGGCCCTCTCTGGAGGTCTGCACTGCTGCAGGCGCTGGGGTCCCTGCAGGCTGGGGGCGGCCTGGTGCTCACAATGGCCCCATTCTTCAGGCCACACACGCAGCGTTCCAGGAGCTGGCTGGCTGGCCAAGAATAGCTGGGATTCCTGGAGAAGGAACCAGCTCTCCAGCCTCTCTCTCTTCTGCCTCAGCCAGTCTCAGCCCTTCAGCATCTGGTTCTCTTGTCCTCCCCCCCCCACGCCCACCCCCCCACACACACACACCTGCCAGTGCCTTAATTTGCACAAACAGTGCAAGACCTGGCTTCCAGGGGAAGGGGAGAATGATCTAGCAAGAGTCAGCCCTCAGCTCCCCAGGGGCATTCCTGACCCTCGCCTTCATTTTCAGGGGAATGGCCTTTGACTGACCTTGGATGCAAGTGCTCTGTTCCACCCTGTCCTGGGGGAGATGGAAGGAGGCGGCCCTCCGCCTGCCCTTTTCCCTCTGACGTGAACCCCGGGGAAGGCGAGGGAGGGTCTTTATCCCCCTCAAGGGAGCCACCTGGCCCCCACCTCAAGGCTCTGACATTTTGATTAGAGGCTTTATTGAGTGATTGGAGGAGCAGGGGCAGGTTTCTCAGCCGCGAGGGAGCCCAGGGGTGAGTTTGTCTAGGCGATGCCTCCGCGCACAGGGCCAGAGGACCTGAGCTACCCCGGAGACGAATGTGAGGCTGTGCCGGGGGCGCGAGTCCGGTGGGCGGGAGGCACTTGGGTGCCGCCGGGACGGTAGCCCTCGGGAGGCGCTCATGGAGGCATGGAGCACCAGGTGATGTTGGGCTCAGCCTTGCGTGGGCGCTGGGTGACGGGTGGGAAGGCCCACGGCGACCGTGGGCCGGCTTGCGGGCTTGGAGGAGGCGCTCTGGGAAGGGGCACTTCTGGAGGAGGTGGTGGCGGGGAGGCTGGGGTCAGGCGAGGACGGAGGGCACAAAGGCTGGCGGCGGGGGCGCTCAGGGGCACCCGGGGGCCCCCGCGCCCCCCGAAGCCCGCGCCTTCCGCAGATCTGAGTGCTCCAGAAGGCAGTGCGCCACGTAGGCCGGGTGGCTGTGCAGGTTCCTGCACTTCTTGCAGTAAAGGATCTCGCAGCGCGCGCAGCCCCCAGCGCGCGGCGGCCGGCGCCGCGTCTCCAGCACGCACGGCGGCTCCGGGAGGCTCCGCTTCCTGCGCGGGGCGCGGGAGCTCAGTGCCGCGCGCGGCCCCCTCCCGCCGCCGCCCCGCGCCCCCAACCCCGGCCGGGGCGCGCCGTCACCTGTCCGCAGGGGCCGCCAGGCCGCCGAGCAGCGCGAACGGGCCGAGCCAGCCCCAGAAGCCGCTGTCCGCGCGCCGCAGCAGCGCCACCTGCTGGGTGCTGGACTCCTGGCGCAGCGGGCAGTAGGACACGGAGCCCCGCTCGCGGCCCTCGCCGCGCTCCGCCTCCCGGCTGGGCGCCTCGCCCTCCGCCCCGCTCTGCTCCCGCGGCCTCGCCGCCGCCGCCACCTCCTCGTCCTCCTCGTCCTCCTCTTCCTCCGACCCCTCCTCTGCGGCCGCCTCCGCCTCGCTGGCCGGCGGCTCCGCTGGCTCCTTCTTCCACAAGGGGGTCTTCACTCCTGCGGGGCCGGGGGGGGGGTGGGGGAGGTCAGCGCAGGCCCGCTGTCGCCGGGGAAGAGCCGGGCACCCTGACTGCTGTCCACAACCCGACACCACGCCCCCCCCCCCAAAAAAAGGCAGGCGCCTGAAGGAGAGTGTGCACGGGCTGCACCGGGTCAGCAGGATTCCTTACAGAGCGAGACAGGGCCGCCGGGCTGCCCCCCATTTCCCAGGTTTCTACTCTTCCTCGCTGAGGATTCGGGGCAAGTCACGTCGCTTCTGTCAAGCTCCGTGTCCCCATCTGGGAAAAGTAGTGCTCCTCTCCAGGGCGACTGTGAGGCGGGGAGCAGGTTGCGACTCTGTCAAGGGCCCAGCCCAGGGCTCGCCTTAAGGAAGCGCAGCTGTGGCAGCACCTGAGCGCGTGCGCGCGGGCACCCACCCCCACCCACCACCACCACCACCACCACGGGCCGACCAGTTAGGAAAAGGCTGCCCTAGGAGTGAGCCAGCTTCCTTCCAGGCTTGACCCCAATTGCCAGCTGGATTTCAACCACCAGCGTCCCTCTGGCCGGTGCCTTTATGGAGAGCACAAACTTCATAATTCATAACAGTAATCCTGGCAGGCAGGACGTTGCCGGGCTGCCACGGGAAGTAACCTGGCCTCTCCTGCTAGGAGTCCATCATTGGGCAACCTCCGTCCCTCCCTCCCCCCTGGCACCACCATGTGTCTGTCCTGCTCTCTGCTGGATCTGGGGAGCTAGACTTCCAAAGAAAAGCAGGGGGATGAGGCCAGGGAAGACACCACAGTGGTTTGCCCTGGAAAGGTCAAGAGAATTCCTATTGGTCCCTGCCCGTCCTGTTTAAAGAGGCTGGGGACGAAGGAGAATGATACAACTAGTGTTCTAGCTCACGTGTATTGAGCACCAACTGTTTGCAGTCACTGTGCTAAATTCTTCACACGTTGTGCCCCTTCACCTTCACAACCACCTCGAGGTGGTTGTGAACAACCACCGAGGCCTCTGAATTTCATCTAAGACTTCCGAAACCTTTCCAGAAAAAGTTGTTTCAAAGATTCTGCCAGTTTTCGATGTTGCTGAAGCTGGAAAACCAGGGTCCGCTGCACTTTTCGTTAGAAAACACACTAAGGAGCCTTTTGGTTGTGAAAGGCCAGACTTAGTGCACAGCCAGAAAGGGGTACTGGAACTTTTCGAGAGAAATGGGAATAGGAAATGAGGTTAGAAAGGAAGCTGGGACTTTGGGTGCCAGGCTATGGAGTTTGGACTTCGTCCTTCAGGAGTGGGGAGCCACCGAACTTTCCAATGGAGGGACATGCTCAGAGCTGTGTTTTAGGATGGTCTCCCTGCCGGACAGAGGGAGACCCACTTAGGCATCGTCACAGCGGTCCCGGCCAGAGAAGACAAAGGTCCAAACAGCAGCAGGTGAAGATGAGGAAGCCGATGTCAAGAATATTCAGGGAAAAGAAAGAAGAGGGCTTGTACAAGTAACTGAGAAAAGGCTGAACTTCTCTGGGGTCTCCATGGCGATGGGTGAGCTGGCCCACACTGGGTTTGCATCCACACTTGACAGGAGTCCTCCGTCCCCACCCTGCTTCCAGCCCCACTCACCGTGCTTATCCATTCTTCCCAAGGCTGTGCTGCCCTCTTCCCCTGATCAGGGACTGGGATGAGACAGAGTTCCCAGAACGCATAGAACTTTGTCTGATCTCTAGGGCCCCTGTTGGATCACAAGGGGTGAGGCTAGAACTTCACCTGCCCTTAGGGTTCCACCCAGGAATAGCTGCCTTTTCTAGAGCCTCCAAGAGCACTTAAAACCCAGGTGTCCCTCCACCTTCCCTCTTGGCAAGGCATTAAAGGGGAGAAGGGGGCGGCTTTGGCCGCCAGTAGACTGGGTTCAAATCCCCGCTCTGCCACATAAATGTAAGAGCTACGTGACCTTCAGCATGTTGTCTGACCCTCAGTCTCTTCATCTGTAAATTAGAGATAGTCACACAGTACCAGACTTTACCTGGCTTACAGAAAGCACTCCAAGCGTTATGTTTACTTGTATCATTATGTCCTCTCCTCCCCTTTCTGTCTTCTCTCTCTCCTTCCTCACCCTGGCTTCCCACTCCACTTCCAGCTCATTGCCTTCGCTCCAAGGAGCCTAGGAAATGCCTCCAAGTCCAGTAGAAAGCAGGGCCCAGGCAAGAGCCGGGTGTAGCTCCCGAATGTCATGTATGTGTGCGTAAGAATTGGGGCTGGGGGAGGGGATACTTGGCATACTCCTTATTCTCTGGGCCTTCAGAGTGGCCTGTGTTGGCAGAGACAGGAGTAAGCAGAGGGGTCAGAGGATGCAAACCCAGCTCTGGAGAGCCTCAGTCTGACGGGGAAAAATGTCTTGGTTTCCATCCAAGGCTGAGGAGTAGGGTTTCTTCCTCAGGCATCTCCCAGTTTAGTGGAGGTCAGTAGGTAGGATGTCGGGAAACAGCTCTCGGGAATCTCCTAGTCCCATGGGGGCCACCCTGCCAAGAACTGGGAAGGCTCTGAAGCTTTACTCTTGCATGCTAGCCAGCTCGCTTGCCGGGGCGTCATGGGTGTGCCAAAAAACCTGAGACTCCTGGGCCAGAGACAAAGGCCTGGATTCCTCATGGTACAGAAGCAGCAGTCTCTTCCTGTCAGCACAGCCTGTCCCTTGTCCCCTGGGTGCCACAGGGATGGGCCCGTGAATGCCTGCACATGCAGGGGTTTGCATTACCAGAGAAGCTCTGAGCTTAGGAGCACAAATATTTTATAATGGGCAGCAAACAAACCTGCTCTTTGCTCCAGAAAGAGATGCAATCACTATCCTCCAAGGTTGTTCACTCTATTAAACACCCTTGAAAAGTCGGTGCCTCTATTTGTGAGACAAGCAGAAATGCAAAAGGCCCATGGAGAATTGTCTCCCAGGAAACCCATTCTCCTTACATTTACTAAGAGAGCTTAGAGTCACTGTGGCTCTGGATGGCAAAATCCTAAAGCTCACTCTGGCTAATTTAAAGAGAAAGAATAGTGGGAGCTCGCAGAATGGCCAGAAGCCTTGGCAGCTGGACAGGAGCTATAGAAGGATTGTGAACACAGCCAAGATCACACCACAGGAATCCAGTGGAGAAGCCACTGTGGGGACCACCCCTGGTCACTGGCACCAGGAACAACCTTCTTGAGTCACTACCTAAGATTTAATGTCCCTGGCCAGGCCCATCCAAACCACTGAGCCTATGCTGTGGCTTTTAGGGAGCATCCTACCAAGAAGCACAAAACAGTGTTCCTCTGGTCTGGTCATTCACCTCATCCTGCCTCTCCCACTTCGATCTACCCAGAAGCCCTTTGTCATCCTTAGGGTGTTCATTCACTGTTGTTGTGTTGTTGTGTTGTGGTTGTTTTTCCCATTCACTCTTCTCAAGGGTATTTTGGGTTTTGTGGGAACTTCATAAAAAGTTGGGTTGTCATAACAAACAATAGCAGCATAAAGCCACATTGGAAATGGATCACAAAGTAGTAATAGGGTCTACAGTGAAAACACAAGAGCAGGTAATCCCACTGCACCAGGAACAGAAGCATGCTTCCTGCTCTCAGATGCCACCTTGGAAGACCCCTTGAAAGGGGAGAAATTGTACTGATAGTGAGTCTGAATTCAAGCCTGACTGGAGCTGTGTCCAAAAGAAACTGCTTAAAACCAGAAGAGAATGAGCTGCATTTTATTGGCTAGCACAAGCATTATTTCCTGCCACTCACAGAAATCTAGAGAACAAAATGAGATCAATTGTCAAAAGTAAAGCTATAATTTTTTTTTAAACGTAGGCTCCACGACCAGCATGGGCTTGAACTCACGACGCTGAGATCAAGACTTGATGCTTAACTGACTGAGCCACCCAGACGCCCCTAAAGCTATAATTTTTGTACTTTTTTTATTTTAATGTGCAAATTAATAGTACGTATAGCTCATTAACTTGTAATAACCAGGTATAACACAGAAATGCTGTATTCATTTTAGTTGAGCAATAGAGATAAGTTACAAGAAGAAATACCCAATAAGGTGGTAGGTAAGGGCCACCCAAGTGGGAATATATATAACAAGACTTGATATATATATATATATATATATATACACACACACACACACACACAAGACTCTTCCCCTTTGAACGTCATGTCCATTAGGATGTATTTAGTTGCTGGAATATCAGAGTGCCCAACTAATAACGGCGTAAGCTTTATAAAAGGTATTAGTTCACTTAAGAAGTCAGAAGTGGGGGGCTCCAGGATTGGTTCAGTGGCGTGCTGCGGTTGTGAGGGACCCAGGCATCTTTTCATCTTTCCCCTCTACCTTCTGTGCCTCTCTTCTTGGTTGCAGAATGGCTGCTGCAGCTCCAAGCATCCTGGCCTGGTGCAATCATGGCCAAAGCAGAAAGGCTCTGCAAGGGCCAGGACTTCTCAGAAGCCCTCCAGCAGGCTTCTCTTTGAGCCTCAATTGGCCAGAACTGAGGCACGCACCCATCCCAAACCAACCATTTGAGAAAAGAAATGGGAGGGCCAACATTGACCTGGCCTGGTTGTAATTGGTACCTTTGATCAAGTAGGACTCAGGGAGTATAGTTATAAAACAATCTTTCTTCTTCTTCTTCTTTTTTTTTTTTTTTTGCCTCCTGTAGTCCCTTTAAACCTGCTCAAGGGGAAGCAAGCTTCCTTCCCTTGTCCCTGGAGGACAATTCAGACAGGTCTTGTGACTTGTTCAGAGAACTCTTAGGCCATGGAAAAGTGGTCACTGTGCTCACTGGAAGTTGATATAATGTTACATCTCCTCCCGGCTGGGGCCTGCCGTGACCGGTGGCCACAATGTGATGGGGTGATGGGCAGAAGACACGGTCCTTCCTCCCTCTTGCTCTGCCTCTCCTTCCTTCTCAGCTGGCCAACCCCTGGTGTTTGCCTTTCCTTCCTCAATCCAGGCAGTCCCTTGGATCCAGGAGGCTACACTGGATTCTGGGGGGTCACTCATCCCCCCTGCAGCCCTAGGAATCCGCTGGTCCACTGCAATCTTCCTCTCTACTGAGCCCTTCGCTGGCTGAGTGGCACATAGGAAGCACTCATACATCCTCTGTTCCAACTACAAGAAGACCGCCGGCTGATTCCAGCACAGCCCTCTCCTTGGTCCCCAGCATGGAGCAGCCAGCCAGCCCAGAGTCTGCATTTCTGATTTCCCACACAGCAGTCAGACTTCAGTTCACTGAGTCTCCCTAGTGATTGGGGATAAATATCTAGTGCTTTGATTGGTGCCATGGAAGCCCCTCTCGCTGCTTCGCCCCTTGTTTTGGGGGAGAGATGGTGATAGGCATTAGTTCCCTGTTCGGGCTGTAACAAATTATCACCAATGTAGTGGCTTCAAACAACACACTTAAGGCACGTGGGTGGCTCAGTCAGTTAAGCGTCTGCCTTCAGCTCAGGTCATGATCCCAGGGTCCTGGGATCGAGCCCCGCATCGGGCTCCCTGCTCGGTGGGAGGCCTGCTTCTCCCTCTCCCACGCCCCCTGCTTGTGTTCCCTCTCTCGCTGTGTCTCTCTGTCAAATAAATAAATAAATAAATAAATAAATAAATAAACTTATTTTAAAAAATAAAGCGTCTGCCTTCAGCTCAGGTCATGATCTCAGGGTCCTTGGATCGAGTCCTGCATCGGGCTCCCTGCTCCGCGGGGTGTCTGCTTCTCCCTCTCCCTCTGCTGCTCCCCCTGCTGGTGCTCTCTCGCTCTCTGTCAAATAAATAAACAAAATCTTAAAACACAGTTACTCTTTTGCAGTTCTGAAGGTCAGAAGCCTGAAATGAGTCTTTACAGGAATAAAATCGAGGTGTTGGCAGGGCTGGTTCTTTCTGGAGAATCTGCTCCTTGCTTCTTCCAACTTCTAGAGGCTGCGGAGTGCCTGGCTTGTGGCCCCCTCAATCTCTGCTTCAATCGGCACATCTACTTCTGCAGCCAGACCATCATCCGCCCCACACTTGTGATTACATTTAAGGTCCACCTTGACAGTCTGGATTCTCTGCATGGTCCCTTTGGCCCTCTAAGGTAACATTCACAGGTTCTGGGCATTAGGACACAGCTCTCTCTGGTGGCCATTCTGTGGCCTGTGGCACAGTTGCAGTTCTCTGTAAATCCTCTCCTGCTCTGCAGCAACCTTACTCTTGACAGACTCTAGTAGCAGAGAAATCCGAGCGTCAAGTGACTGCTTTTGGATAATGCCTCGATAAAATGTGCAATAGAGTCTTGTTCCTTTTTGGGTTTGCTGCATCTACTGCCGTCTTGGAGCCTCGGCAGAAACTTCCATCTTAGCTCTGCCATGATTGACTTGAACCTATCATGGCTCCTCTTCTGGGGCTGGGCCCACCTTCCCGCATTTCAAGGAAGTTCCACCTACTACCCCAACATAAGGAGATTTTATTAGCACGCAAGAAAAAACAACTAGCTCTTCTCTACTGGGATCATCAACCTCTAGGAAGGCTCCCCCTGACCCCTGTCTCCTGGTATTCGTGTTCCCAGGCAGTGCCCTCCCGCGTGAAATAAGGCCGACCCGGGTGGCCGACAGGATATTGCAGAAATGACAGTGTGGCATTCCAGGCTGGGTGATGAAGACACTGTGGCTTCTGTCTTGCTCTCTCCCCCTGGGAAAGACCAG